GATACCGCCGGCCATTCTTTTATTTTGTTTAGGATTAGCGCCATCTACCCTTGTTAGAAAACGTCAATTTTTAAATCAATTTGTAACACATAATACTATCTCGTCTATTGATATGCACAAGTTCAGAAAATAATTTTATCTCGTGATCGATATTGGAATTTTAACGGTATCTGTACTAGTATGGTATTATTATTATCTCTGTCAAAACTTTAAAAAAAACAAAAAAGGTTATATATAATTATTTATATGTGAAAAATCTCTTTCCTCATCGCCTGACAAACAGGAAAAGGCTTCTTTAGAGAGCTCATTGAACTAACGCGATGACTACATGACAATCTTATTAATAAGCTTTACTAAGGTCATTAATCGTGTTATATTTATTATACAATTTAGTAACATATTCAATTAATTCGTCAAAGAACTTGAAGAACTTGTTATTTATAATAAACAAACTACTTGATCGACAATGAAGCAGGCAATTTGATCTCTTAGGATGAGATCAAATTGGCGTTGAGACCAAAACAAGATACTACAGATAATACCAAAAATGAGATAGATAAGATAACACAGAACAAAAAAGTCCTGAATGAATCGTGTTCCATATTATCGTCATTGTTTTGTAGACAGAATGTAAGCGACTTTTCGTAGACTTTTCAGGGAAGCGTGTTTAGGTTTTAATGATTTTAACACGTGAATCTTGAAAGATGCTTATGAAATAAGGTTATGTTTCAAAAGCAATATCTGTTGAGTTCTTCTGGCAAGAACAGTATTAGCATACAAATATAAGTACTTAACTTACACAGTGGTAACACTATCGATGCCTTACTTTCTCAAACACGTATATTATAAAAAGTTGTTATTCGGGAGATGGCAAAACATTTTTTTTAATTTAAATTTCTTATCAAGACTGTTTGGATGCATTACTTTAAGAATAGGTAAAAGTTAGTGTGTGAATATGAAGGAAATGTGATGTGAAATCAGCCTGCAATATTTTTATATACAAAGCATTTTTTGTATTTCTGTTATTTTGTGCTTTAAGACCCGAGTTTGAGAAAGTAAGGCGACGATATGACGCAAATAGAGGTTACCGGATCGTAACCTTTGAGACATTCAAATGCATCCGTCAAAACAGGAACTGGAAGACTAGGTTAATCTGTCTTTTAACGAGCGGGTAACCGATGCCATTAGTATTAAGTGACGTAAATGCCACCCCTGTGATCTGTGACGCCTGTCACATAATTAACGCCCTATGTACTTATTATTATTTTTCTATGCATACACCTTGGTAACGGTACGACTACGTTATCTATATACTATCAGAAGTCTTCAGGTGCGTTGGGCTAAGGCGCTAGTGTTGTACAGTCTATGCCCTAAGATACCTGCCCCCTAACAGTTCTGGGTAGATCAGCATGAAGAAAGGTGTTAAACAAAACTTAATCTTTAACCTATGAGCCGCATGCACATTAGGTATATGCAACTAATTTACATATTAATTTGTTTTCTTCTACCTTTTTCGATTTTTTTTTTCTTTTCTTTTTTCGATTATTTTTTGTTTTTCGATTTCGTTATTCGACTCGTTAGTAATTAATTACTAATCCTATCATTCGAATGTCAAATTAGTAATCTACTAATTTTCATATTCGAATAATCTAAATGATCATTCATTACTAATTAGTATTATTAATACATAGATTCCGTAGAGCATCTCCGTTCGTGGTCACCAGACCATCTCTAACATACGGTAAATACCGTAATTGTGACGGGGACGGGATATTTTGATATGAACAGGAAGAGTGATCTAGTGGAGATCCGAATAGTTCTGACATAATAATCATTCGACTCTTGCACCCGACCGAATGGCAGGGGCATTCGGTATCAGTAATCATTCGACTTAGGCTAATGAACAAATGAATGATTAGTAACGAATGAAAAGTAACATTCAAAGTCGCGCGTCGCTAATTTTTCTAGCTTTAATACGAAAAGAAGCATACCTTCTTCGACTCCAGAGTCTAGTTGCGTGACCTGTATGGCGAGCCGATCTATTCTTGCCTGCAGCACATTGGTCCTCTCGGCCAGGTTGGTGGCCTCTCGGGTGAGCTCACCAAACATATCCTCCGCATGTTTTGACAGCGACGATAATTGTCTGAAATTAGAATAGTGTTTACATCAAATTTGAATAATAAAAAAACTGTAGATTGATGAGTATGCTCAATTGTCTTTCTATTTTCGGGGTAGTACTTCATAAAAGAACGACTAGTTCGTGTTAATTCACTTTTTTATCAGTATAATTTATCTTTAATATTAAATCCCCTTTAGTCGTTTTAAGTTATTTATACTCATTGCAATATTTTTATGGAAAATGCTGTGTACAATTGTAATTGAATTAGATTTATATTGCTGTTCAAGAATGTTTTTTTTATGATACCAAGTGACTGGACGAACAAGTCGTGAGCCTGGTGGAAAGGGACACGCCTGTCCGTAACAGTTGCAGCGCCACTCACAGCTTCAAATAGCAAAGATCTAAGAGCCACTCCCACTGCGCCCTGTGTCAAGCTTAAAAGTAGACCGTTTCAGCTTTTCCATATAACATATAAAATTAGAGTTACAATTTTTTTTTTCTTAAAAAAATTACTTTAAATCGCTCTCCTGTAATATATTCCAAATACAAGTTACACGTTTAACCATTCCAGCGTCGATATTATTTTTAATATATGCGGTTTCTTAATACCTCACTAGGTCACAGACGACAATGTGTTTAGTGTCACCTATACTGTCTTCTGTGTTGTCATTGTAATGTGCAATAAAGAATATTTCATTCATTCATTCACCTACTTCTTGCCTTTGATATGGCGAGAAAAGGAATAAACACTATCATGTTAAAAAAATTCATATATGCAGTTACAAGCATCGAGTATATAACTACAAATAGAGACGAAATAAGGGCCTGGAATCCCTGGCAACCCCTTATTAGGCCTTATATCAACTCTCGTTGGCACTGAAATCACAATTTAAAAAGCTGAAATAGTAAGCACCAACAATTGACCTGTGTACGTCTCCGTATATTCCAAAAAATATTCTGTATTTATTGTAATAAAAATAATATCTCTAACAATGGGGTACTGTTCCATTCGGTAGTGTGGGAAAAACAGCAAAACGTCTAATTACAAAACAAACGGTATCACATTTCATCGGTTATTAACTATGAAATTTTTCAATTCTCGTCCATTATAGCAAAGCTCAAGTTAAACTGGTCGCTTTCAAGTGAAACAATTGACGACACCCGTCAATTGTTTCGAATTCGGGCTGACCAATCGGAGCGCAGTTGTTACCGTAATGATTTGGCAGAACAGTTTTCAAACAAATTAAATTACATTCCGGCTCTATTTCTGGTTATATACTAGATGGTTACAAGTAACAGTGCATAGACACTAGCGACACCATTCTTATGATAGAAAAGGGAATGACCCTTTATACGTGGTTCCTTCCAATTGGTTCAGGAGATGCCGAATTCGTACCTGTGCTAATTGAAGATATTTTAAAGTATTTGCTGAAGAAAATGGCTCTATTAGTCGAAATATGCTACATGAAACGCTGGACATCACTTTTGCATGCAAGTATGATACATTCTTCTCGTACATTAATTGCAAATTAATTGATTTATGAATTACTAATGGCATGAATTGCACGATTTTCTACATTACGGGAATGCGTCATAATCCATTATATATAGTTGGTAATGATTTTTGCACATATGTTTACTTCTAATAGTGCAAACTACATTAGTGGCGATACTCAAAGTAGGCATTCACAAATGGGTGAGATTAGCCGTTAATAGGCGTAAGGGCCTCATCCCACTTGTGGACGCGGGATTAATTAGAGCCAGTCAGAAAAAACCTTCATCAGGCAGGTCAGATGCGACGTGCATCCATCGATTACTTATAAAAGCCTTATTTCCATGCAATAAGAGCGAAAGACGACGAGCGTTTCGCTTCGACGCGTCGAACTGTAGCGACGACAGTACGAACTTTGCGCTCCCGTCACGCGTCCTAGACATTTAAGTCCTAGTAATTTTTTTTTTATAAATTGTTTATAAGGTTTTTAATTGTGGATGAAAACAGCGCGTTAGAGACATCGCGGGGCTCTAAAACACTACAGTACCAAAATAATTAGGAACACCGCGTGTCTATAGGATGCGTGATGGGAATTTTTCTTAGTAGCAGTAGAGATTCTTGTGAATGAGTTCGTCCAGGGAAGTACTGCCACCTTACCTATTTCTGCCGCCAAGCAATAATGCGAGCATTATTGCGTTCCGGTTTAGGAGTGTAAGGCTGAAATTACGCTGATATGGGACTTGTCAACTTACGTCTCAGGGTGACGGGTCAAGTGGCAGCGCCACAGATCTTTGCGATTTAAGGGCTCTGAGTGTCACTGACACTGTTATGGACGGGCGTATAGCTTACCGTCAGGCACACGACTTATTCGTCTCGTCACTGGATACTACAAAAAAATTATTTTTTCTCTTTGATTTTTTTAGTAACCGTCCCTATATACCAGTTAAAGTGTAAAAACGTTAAAAATTAATACAAAGGTTAAACAATGTTTTCGCAATTTTTTTAAACGCTTGGAAAATATATAACCACGCCTATCACGCCATCGCCCGAAGACTATTAAAATAATACATATATGTATGCAAACATATACATTAAACATATACACACAGCACTATTATATGCCCATAAGTCCGCCCATAAGATCTCTGCTATTTAAAGCTCTTAATGGCATTGCAACTGTTATGGATAGGCGTGTCGCTTACCACCAGACGCACGACTTGTTCGTCCTGTCACTTGTAAATGGAGCTTTTAAATGACCTTTAATTTGTGCGGCAAGACAACAACACCCCTGCTGTTTAATTTCATATAATGTATTTTTTTAAATATGCTAAATGGATCCATGTCACATGTACTGAAGTACTATAGATCTTTAGCGTTTTCATTACGAAAACTAGAACATGGTTCTCGTTAACTAAATAAAAAGATACATAATGTTTTCTATTTATTGCTATATAATAGTTTCCCTATATCATTCTTAATGCTACACATAACTGACGTTGCTTGTCTCAAATAACTTACCTATTTATTTCTTCACACTGTTTTTACAAAAGTCTAGTTATCTCGAAAGTGACATTTTGTGGGTTGGTTCTAGTTTGCATAACTATGTCCAATTATATTGTTATTAAGAGACGATACTACTTCAGCTCGAATTAAATTTTTTCCCGTACTAATACGGTTCATTTTGCATGGGTCGACACTGGCTTTATTTCAGAATTTATTTTTTTACAAACAAAATTAAAGCCATTTGAAAAATGCTATAAATACTATAAGTGTTCTATTTAGTTCAGTTGATATAAAAAAAAATCATTGGTTATGTAAAGTACATATTGAGTACAGCTGTTTTCTTGTAAAATTTCGAGGTAAGCTTGTGGTTTTTAGAAGTCGTTTTTTCACACCGTATACTAATCAGTGTATATCCTTAATTTTACTATATATTTTTTCCAAAGTAATTAATTCAACAATTTGACATTTGACGTTGTATAGACTCTTAATATTCTGTATTTGAGGCTCAGTGTTGCCGTTTACATGTCCAAAGATTGACACCTAATTGATAGCGTTGTTTAAAAGCAATAAACTTTTTACAGATTATAATTATAGACCGAGCCGGAAAAACCGAATATCAAACCTGTTTCTCGCCGTCGCGGTTTGCCTGATAGTATGTATTCGTAGGTCAACGGTGTGATATTTCAGATGATGAATCAATCGAAGGTGGATACTTTCACACCCTTCTTATTTACCTATAAGTTCTTAGGTTTTCGCAATTGTTACACATTGGAAATGAAACTATCATTTTTTTCGGATCTGAATCGCGTATATAGACTGTGAATCTCAATTTTCTAAAGATTCCACTTTTTAATACCATTTTATACTATTTCATACTTCGCAGCGTTGCAATAAATTCCATTGTTTTTAATAACATGTGTAATAAAAATATTTTAAAAACTACGTATTTTTATTTAATAAACCAGATGCTATTATATAAATAACGCAAATTAGGTTTTTCTTCATCCTGTAAAGTTGTCAATATTGAATGAATGAATTAATTAATTAATTACAGTTCCAGTGGCCACGGCTGGCATATCAAAATATACGCGATTTAATCGGAAAAAATTAGTGCCATTTCCAATACCTATTCATATATTCATCTGGTTCAAATAACCTTTGCTGCTTTGGAACGTATAAGCATCACCCTCCGTATTTTAGAAGTTACGCCGTATGCGATTACTAACCTAAATGACATATTTTGGCGTTGTATTTAGTGAGCTTTGGAAGAAACTTGCACGTCGTAGATTGGAAAGACGAAGGTCTTGAAGGGTCTTAAAGATGCAAGGTGCCGCACTAGGGAAAACATGTATCGTGGATGCCATGTACACACAAACAGATAACCACAAATTACACCCAAACTCACGAGATAAATAAATGTAGGCCATACAAATATTTCTCCCGGCCCAAGTATCCAACCCGGGACCTCTGCTTGACAGAGCAACGTGGTAACCGTTAGGTTATGGAGACAGTGGAATTATTGGTTGTCGGTGGCGTTCGCTCTGTTCTTCTGTCACAGAACATCAGCGTCGGATTTTTTAAATGCAAACACTAAGTGGAGACAAATTTTTACTTATAAAGATTTATTTTATGATTGTCATAATAAAATGAGACCAAATAAATATTTTTTCTTTCTTTCGATTACTGTAGACTCGACGACCGCCTTCCTTCCTTCCTTGATGCTTATTCAAAATTCAGCTGTTCATCAATCTTTGAACCGATATTCGATTTCGCAGATTAAAATCCTCCATCTCCTGAATTACATGTGAAAATCGCTGTCAGCGGATACTACAGGAAATACTTGGTGTTAAATGGCAAAAAATAATCACCTGACGGTATGAGCGAGTGTTCCATTAGTGACGGCTTCGAGTTCGGACGGCACGGCGAGCCGCTCGGGCACGGTCCCGCGCGACACGTGGACCGGCTCCACGCAGCGCTTGGGCAGCGGCATGGCTGCGCGCGCGCACCGGCTATCTGGACTGCATCACTGAAACAACAATGTTGTAGGTCAATAGATGTTTATAAACATGTAGTAGTGTAAAGGTTCAGTTACTTGAGTGGCGATTCAACAGCATCTGCATTTATTTGCGATTACAATCAAAGTATTTTTATAATACATTAAAATAAAGGTTAGTTGGAAGAAATCCCTTTATGGGATAAGCTCGTCTTAACATTTATATTAATGCGTTTTAGTTTTAAAGGGTAAGGGCGCTGGTAAAATTACAAGCACCTGGGTATCTTCAAGTTATATCTAAAGATCTAAGAGACACTACAACTGTTATGGACAGGCGTGTCGCTTACCATCATACGCGCGGCTTGTTCAACCCGTCACTTGGTATTATAAATAATAATAATGTGTTACACATAATATAAACTACACTTTAATACACGTAAGAACAAAATATGAACATAAACAAAACACCAGTACTGGGTAGTCTTGGGATGGCTCTTTTGTTGTCCAGTGTTGTATTTGTAGATATGTCAATAACTTTGCATAATACCATGTCGAATGGCGGACATCACCATTTTCTCTATTTCAACGTGCAGAACATATCTCGAAAGATGATGTAAACTTTGGCGTTGTAAAGCCGCACATACACAATATTATTGACAATACAAGGTTATATATTATTATAAAATACTATAAATTGAAACCCCCGAATGCTATACAATATTTTACCTACACACATATCATCAACTCACTGTGACGTGTTCAAAAACCGCAAATTACGACCAGCTTAAAAGTAAACTGTTTTGTTAGAACAAATTGCTTATCTGTGAAAATGTTATAATAACACCGAATTCGATGTTCGACATCTCTGAAAAAGATTTAAACAACAACACACAACAACAACAATTTTATTTGACCTCCATTCTAATATCAGTCGAGATGAAGTTTTATTCGAAATGAAAATGAAATGAAACGATATTTGTCAATAGCAAACAATTTTCACAAATTTCAAATGTTACTTGATATTTTGCACATGTTTAGAGCTCATAACAACTTTTCTAAAGATTTGGACTTATTCTCCCATAGTCGCTATACTTATTTAAATATTTGTAAGGAGAAGCTAAATACATATGTTGGATATTAAAAAATCTCATTGTTTTTATATACGTGTAACATGATTTTTTGCTATTGTTTTTAAGTGCAAATTTTAATTTTTTTTTATTATGTTTAATAACCTGTTAATTTGTAAGTACTTATTTATTTTGCAAATGCCGTGTGTGGCTGTCATAGGAATACAAACTTACTCCTATTATAATGCATGTTAACTTTAAGCGTCTTCACAGTTTGTATTCTGTAGCTATGCCAAAAATAAATAAATAAATCGAACGATATGATAGTTGGGGCCGACTCTAGTTTGTCTATGAATTAAATAAAAACTACGGTTGTGTGATATGCGTGAGAAAAGTTTTTATTTGCCGCCATTTCGCCAGTCGTAACATGCGGTTCCTGAACACATCACAGAGAGCTTATAATATGTGTATAGATAAAGCTGTGTATGTAACTGTACATAATTAGGCATTAAAACACTAGTGTGATATTTTTATGAAACTCGCCAGTCGGCTTGTTTCATAAACCCACACTCGTATTTTAATGCCTTTCATTATGTAACAGTCACATAAACTACTATTTGTCTACATTTCTTGTTAAAAATTGAGTCAGTAACGCGCAGAAGTTTGATCCGTTTGCAAGTGTCACAAAATGGATAGGAAGAAAAATGTTATAGCATTGACCACTGATTCTCAAACGTCCACCATCACAAAAAATCATATATGTAGTGTAGTTTATAAAGATAATTTAGGTATTTTTTTCAAATGCGGTAGCACCCGTTCGACAGCATCAATTGCTTCCGAGGCTACTACCGGGCGGTAGGGCAGCGCTCACTGGAGGGCCACTTTGCGAAACTATGCGTTACACATTTTAACTTAACGCGTTCGTTAAGTTAAAATGTCCTCCAGTGTCCTTTTTTATATTATCATGGTACGCATCGATAGATATATTCTATAGTTCTGAATACGTTTCACACATTTGTTATTTTTCCACGGCAGTAGCATTATCTAAACTATTTTCACCCTGGATACTATATTCGTCCTATACGTTATTCTCAATACAATACGAATATGAAACAAAAGAGTATCAAGTATTTACCCATCGTTTGCCTACAGCGTCTAATGATCTCTAACTATAGATGCGCAAAAACCAAACATTCAGTGTTATCAGAAGCATTTATCGTGTTTTCTTATTAACGAACACTCAATAGTGTAAGGGAATAGCGGTGTGCTAAAGAACTCTTGCAGTTTTAACTTAACCTGGTCATTTTTTTAATGATGCTAATAGTGACGGGACGAACAAGTCGTGCACCTGGCGTTGCAATGCCACTCAGAGCTTTAAATCACAAAGATCTGAGCAGCACTGCCAGTGTGCCCGTCACTATGAGACATAAGTTGACAAGTATCTTGTGCCTGTAATATGACCAGCACCCTTACACTTCCAAACCGGAACGCAATAATCACATTACTCCTTGGTGATGATGGTGAGGGCACGGCACAGATTTTTGGGATTTAAAGATCTGTGTGGCACTGCAACTGTTATGGACAGGCGTGTAGCTTATTCAAACTGTCGATTTCACAATTGAGAAAAAAACATTCTCCCACTGCGCTACTATTGCTGAAGTACATTATAATGCATTGCGGGCAAGTTTATTATACTTTTTCTTTATTGAATTAACCAATCGGTGGCATGCTTTGTTAGTATCTCAAAAAACAAACTCCCATATAAATTTTTGTTAACATTATTTGTAAGCGTCTGTTTATGAAAAAATATGTGAAAATATAGAGTTGAAATTCCTGAACAAATATTGTTTTGGGTTAACTATTCTGAGAAGTCTGAATTAAAAATATTAAAGTTTGAAGTTTTGGAGGTTATGTGTTACGTAGTTGAATAAAATATATTCGGTGTATTATTATATCAAAATAAACTACAGAAGCCTTATACAGAGTTAATAGAAGATGAATGGTACCTTGGGTTTGTGACGTGACGAAATTTCAGAAGAAATATTTTTTAGCGGTATGGTCAAAAGGCATGAAGTTAAGTCAACAAAACAACTGAGTTAATTAAAATATACCACAGACAATAGCACTGGTAACTCGGACACAAATAATTTTATTGTGAAACCTGCCTCTATCTATCCCTGATTTCGGGAACTTTTTTTTTTTGGGTTGGTAAAACTGAATTTTCTCGCGTGGCATTTTAGAGAAGAAATTATCTACTTTATTTTTTGTAATGATGTAGTTAAACTCTTATTAGCTTATTACAAATCGGTCGAATCAGTACATTAGATATTACGTGAACTAAATGTGGACCATCCACACTAAAGTACTGAAATTATCTTTTTGGCGGATAGATGTCGCTCAACATTAAGAAACAAAGATTCTTGGTAGGTCAATGATTTCCAGACTTAGGCCGTTATTATAATTTGAAAAACCTAATGAATTTATTTTATTCAAACTTGGAATCAAGACATTTGAAGACGCCAATGAACTCTTTTAACTATGATTTGGCCAACGTTCTTTCTCATTTTATTTAATTGATAAAAAATGTGCAACTTAGCTACTATCTCTTTATCTAGAAGAGAATTTGGCAACATTCAACTAAATTAAGTGTTTTTCACGAAAAAAAATCTCCAGAGTTATATTTACCAACATTGATGTAACAACCTTTTCAGGAGGTTTAAAGATTCTACGAACGAAACTAGTCTCTAACTTTTTTATAATTGCTTAAATGTGTTTCATGTAGTTCGTATTATTTTTAAGACTTTCATTTTGTAAAAACACTTTTGGCGAATGATCATAAGTGGCTTTATGATACCAAATAAATCCGCACACAAGTATAGACGTATATTCTTTTATTTTTTTACCATCCTCTAAGTATATTACATACAACATGTTACTTTAGCAATAGAAAAGTCAAAGGTCAAATCATCAAAATAATCAAAGGAAGCTGTAGCAAAACATCACAATACAAAAATCCGCAACATACATGGAAATTCGTAAGATCTGCTGGTTTCATTTGAAGCGGTAGCCACGTTGAGGCAACAGTCGTTGGTTCGAGTCCAGTAGGGTGGGTCGAAGGAATTTTTTTTGTTCTATCTTTCTATGAATAATAATAATATCAAACTAATGGAGTATTTTCATAAAAAATAATAAAACCATGATAAATGATAGCTATCACAGAAATTGATAGATATTATAATTATTATCAGGAACCGAGCGGGAACCGGCGAAAGCCCGGAACACACATTCAATCTCTGTACCGTATCGTCGCTAGCCAATTATTAAGTTACCCACTGGCTTGCATGGCCAATGGCGTGACTACCATCCGTAAATATAGCGTGGAAGTGAGTTTAGTTCCGTTATCACAGCTCTGCCCGTTATCGACTAATAAATTATTATATTATACGGATGGTAAAGACTTGTGAATATTAAAACCGGAACTTTTGCATTCAATTGTTTTGCAGCCGGTACCTATACAACTGCTAAAGGCTATTTTAGAAACTAGGCTCTGAGAAAATCCTAAGCTATTTAAAACAACTTATTGACTAATAAAATATACAACATCCGCATTTTTAAATGACAAGTCTTTATTTTTTTTTTATTGTACAAGTGACGGAACGACAAATCGTGCGCCTGGTAGTAAGCGAGACGCCTATCCATAACAGTTGCAGTATTGCTCAAAGCTTTATATAGAAAAGCTGAAACTTTCTAGTTTTCCATAGGTATAATAAATAAATGTTATGATTTTTTTTTTATTAAAAAAAATACTTTAAATCTCTCTCCTGTAATATTTTCCAAATGCTCGTTAAACCTTATACCAGTATACTAGTGTCCATATATATTTATCGAATTGTATTACGCATTGTACCAAATAATTCATCCCTTATGCCGTCCGGTTTCGCAGTAACTGACGTATCTGACGTATGACCGTATTCATCTTCAACCCA